AAATAAATCACAGGTGCATAAAAGCAGGATTTTGATTTGCCTAATCTGATGAAAGAATTTTATCTCATTTAAAGAATGTATTTAAACAAAAGCTGTATTTTAAAGAAATGAAATAAACCTATTGAAAAGGGAAAACCATGACATATTAGGTTGTTGAAAATCAAATTAGTGAAGATGATGGTACCCATGAATGATCCCTCGACAAGCCATCCAATCAACACCTCCAACCATTCACACATTTCAATTATCATCTGTATAAGTGATGATGACTGGATCAAACTGTGAAAGAAGTTAGATAATTATGTTTGCCATAATTATATTATTTTACAGTCCATAAAAGTCATATTATCCCAAGTGCATATAATCACACTACCCTACCTCGATCACGCATGCGTGAATTTTTTGGCTTTCAATCAGGTCGCTTTTGAGTATATCGACTGCTTACTCAAAATGTTAATAGGTTTGGTGCTCGGAGTGAGTCAATATTGCTATTTGCTACACTTCAGTGGTGCAATAGTGAAGTCGATGTTCCAAGTTATATGATAGTTATAGAAAGAATGAAAATAATATCGTTTTAAATTTTAAAATATTTGATATGTCATAGTACACGGTACACAGTTGCAAAAGTTGATCAATACAGGGTACAAGGAATGTAAATTGTTCAATAGTACAGGGAGCGAGAAAGTAAGCTGATTATACAGACATACTATGTCCCGACCTCATGTACATTTACGTTGCAAACAGTGAAAGTAATGCTAAAAAGGCCGCCTGTTGATGCTTTGGGGTGTCATCAATTGTTATTTAATCCAAATAAAGTAAACATTATTCTGTAGATTTAGACACGGGCTTTCAGGTCGTATGCATTTTAGTCATAAAATTAACAAGAACGCTAGATTATACGTGTTACTAGGATATCAAATTGAAATAAAATAACGAAATTAAATATTAAGACGTTAATGATAAATGACTATCCGCTACTCAGAATAATTAAAATTGCCTGAACTACATGTGAAGAATCTTTCTATATAACCCCTTGAATGGTATAATTCACTACCGTCCTCAAAAACCGATCATTTAAAATGTTTTGTTCAAATTCACAAAAATACAGTTGAATAACATACTAGAAAACATATCCACATATAACATGATGACACGAAGTTTAAATAATAGTTAACTGTTTTTTGTTACATATCAATGTAACATTTTCGAAGGGAAACTTACATGCTCCCTGTACGTTGACAGATTTACTGAAATGTATCGTGTATTGCATTCAAGTTTTGCTTCACTGCGCCCACTATTATATATCTTTGCCTATAGTGGTTTTTAGCCAACAATATTCTACAAACTGCTTGATGAATCAATTCTATGTCTGGTAGAACACTAGAAATAAATGTAAAATGTATTGTACGTTCAGAAATATGAAATTAAACCCACGTCCTCCATTTGCAACTTAGCTGTACCCTGTTTCCATTTTAAACGTGGTCACGTGGTAGGGTAGTGTGATAATATTAACTCCCAAAGACGCAAAGTCAAAATACAGGAATTTTCTACAATTTCAGAAGATAGGTAAAATAAACAAACAGAAAAGGGAAATTCAAGAGAAGAGTGGATATCTAACCTGTATGCGTGATAAAATATTATAAAAAATATTGCTTGAATCCAATAATAATCACTGCTGCAGAATGTCATGGATCTTAACCAACCAAGGTAACTCATAATGTATAAAATATCTGTATGAGTCAATGACAAGAACAGTATGGTTGAAAGAAGTCAGGTAGAAAGTGAATGAGTCATTTCATGTGTGCCATTAGAAGCAGCCTGAGTCACCATCAGCTAGTCATACTAACCTTTCATTATGAAAAAAGACTATAGAGTTTTGAGGCTAATCAGATCTCAATGATCTCTAATGCAACTTTTGTCTTAATTAACTCAAATGCTTGCAAAATATGCTTATAAGATTTGAACAATCGCAAATGTATTTTTTGTCTTGATTAAGCCAAACATTTGCCAAGATGCCAACTCAATCTTAATGATCTCATTTGCAGTTTTTAATCATTAAATACTTGCAAACAGTATATATTCCTAATATTAGAATATTCAGCTTGAGATCAATTAGCATTGATTTTCTAATTTGGTCATTGATTATCATACAGAACATGATATGATATACGCCTGCTTCTCTCGCTATATGGACAATTGCCTGGCCAATAAATCAATGTTCCAGACTCTGAACAATATAAAGATTAGGAAGATATATTAGATATTATATTTAGAGGATGCTGTGATTTCACAAGTTTGGTGCTAGAAACCTGCTATGCCAGCAAGTGAGAATGTAATTAACACCCAGAAAGAGTTTAAGTCGTAAATTCACATTTTTAACTAATAGTTCACTGTTTATAATTAAACAACCGCCCTTTTTTAATAATTTCTTAAAAGGCACTGACCAACATTAAAGAGAGAATCAGATATAGCGAGCAGGCTAAACAAAAAATTGTCTCAATTTTAGAATATTTTTGGCTCATGTCATTCCTTGTCATGTCTATTTTCTAAAAATCACAAAAGTGCATACCTTCTTCCAGGAAAACTAAAGATTTTTACAATAATATATTATTTTTCTATAAGAATGGTTACCATTCTTATTATTAGGGAGAATTTAAACATTTTTCACTCATTTTTGCATTTTGAATCATTAATATCTTCACCAATTTATAACATATTGTGAATCTTTTGGGAGATATTGTATTTGATATTGTAAGGAATAGATTGGTAGGTCAATTATACATGTTGCTTGTAATTTTGTCACCCCCTGTAGATCAGATTCTGCCTTTAAACAAGTGTTTCTTTCTGCTCACTGATTGGTTGAGAAAATATCAAAATAGTTGGTTTGAATTGATTTATGACCTAGGCTAAAATGTAGTGATGGCGACTGGCACTGGAGGTTGGGCTGCTTAACGGTTATATTATAGTCTAATCAGTTTAGAGGCTACTTTAGAACCTCTGCGCTCAGGGTATATATTTTTGCAATCACTAAATATTTCATAACAGTATGCTAACAATACCTTCTATTTGCAAATAAACAGCCTTGCGTCTGATTTTATAAATATTAAAATCAAGGTCTGATTAATTTTGCAATTCTATAATGTGATCAAAGATACAGGTTTCTAGCTCGAGTATCTGCTTGTATCACCTGCGTGCAGAACCTGGAATCATTGCATGCTAACTGCAACTTTAATCATTTTACTCAATTACATCTTGACACTCCCAATAAATATCCCATAATTTATACTTGGAAGTCCGTAGCCAATTACTTTACTTCAGCTGATATATAAAATAGTGGGGACGTATAGTCTCAAATGTCAGGGTATGCTAATAAATGTCAAATAAGAGCCAGACTGTTAGGCATGTGATCGTTTTAAGACGTTTCATTCTGCAAATTGCATGCTCGAGTCTTTTTAATTTTTTGGTCAATGCTACAATGGCTCGTGGTGTATTTTTATTTTTCAAAACATTACATGAATCATTGTGCAGTTTTGCAAATCTACTGTTTCCTTTCATTTCCCCCTGCATGTTCTCTGATCATTGGAAAATTTGAAAATGACACAGCTTCTTTGATGAGAACCCAACATAAATCACGGCCAAGCTCGATACTATCTATCACTATCTATTATTCATATCTATTATTCATTGGATCCATGGATGAAAATTAATTACAAAACAATCCATAAACGAGCATTATGGCGCGATAGTATACCCTCATTATCCCAATGCAAACAGTCGGGTTTTAAAACCTCCAAGATGACAAACTGGAGAAATTAGCAAGGAGGCATCATGTCTATACTCCAAACTTATACAAATGTTACCCTGCGTGCAGAGTCTAGTTAAACTACACTCTGCCTAGTAGAGACCATATTACAGTTTAGTAGCCCCGCCCCATGACGGGTACCAGTGACAGTATGGGTAAATCACTTTTGACCTACGCGCTGACCTTCCACCAATCAGCGAGCTTGAAGAAACATACGGCAAATGCGTTCTTATTAAATATGCGCATGTCATTGGTCAATTCCGGGCTCAACGATGACGTCAGAAGGAATGACCATATAAAGAACGTCGGTCAAATTTGGCCGACGAACACTGATTGGCGCGGTGAGTTCACAGGTTTATTTTAGTTTGAAAGAGTGAAGACGAAGCTCTCTTTTAAGAAGTGTAGTCAAACGAATGCAAAGGGTAACAAATGTAAACATAAAGAAGCAATAATTCATTTTTCAGCTATAAAATAAGTGAAAAGGCCAGAATACAATGTGATTTAACAAGGGCAACCACAGACATAATTTGTTCACGATCATTACTAGCACAGATTTCTCTTAAATGACGATGTATTGAGTATTGCTCATCAATTATATTAGCAAAAGTAGACCTTAGCTATTAGTAATGGATGCATGATGATAACAAATCCATTCAACAATAGTCTTTCACCAAAGTCTAAGGTCTGAATTCTAGCCCCTCCCACATACTACATATGTAGTGAAATAGGCGAATCAGAGACTCCACACAAGACTCTGGCATTGCCACACCCCCTTCTCCTTACTCAAAGACTCACTGGTAACTGGTGACAAGACTAAAAAGCCTCGATGGCAATATAAAATCTCTCACACTTGAATGTTCACAAAGCTGATTTATGTCTTATAACATCGGGATTTTAATAATGTAAATGCCCACAGAAAAAAAATTGTTAAACTGTTAATGCTCTTGTAACAATAAAACAAAAGGTGTTTTCATGACCATGATGACAGAACAGGGTTTACAAAGACCACTTTACAAAATAATTTAGCACCCTCCTATATCAAATTACCATGCAGATGAATTGCTATTAAAAAAACTCTATGGAACCCTTATCATGCTAATTAAAACCACAAAACCACTTGATTTTCCACCCAGTTCAGTCACATGTATGAAAGACTCGAACAAAGTACTAAAAGTATAAATGCGCAGGAGTTACTAACCTGCTGTCTGACTCTGTGACAAATTAGGTCGTCCTTCTGGCGATATCCTTTCTCTCTGACCTTTACCCTGGTCCTTCATCTGAGCATTCAAATTTTCAAACCTCTGAATCCACGTCCCTCTTTCAGCCTCAGTTTCACCTGCGTCCATACGTGGTAACGAGAAGCTACGATCCTCTGGGTCCATCGAGGTCTTAGAATCGACAGGTGCTGTTGTTCCCCACCTTGGTGGTCTTGATCCCCTGTGCATTGTGACCACCTCTGAATCAGAGTTATAAGCATCTGTGAAGTCAGGGGTCCGACGTTGTTGTTGTTGCTGTTGTTGTTCACCATGTTGTTGAACCCTTTGCAGCTCAGCTATGACCCCTCCAAACTGAGGAACAAGAGCCCCCTGTTGGATTTGCTCTGGCTGTTGTTGTTGACTATCTAAAGAGTATACTCCATATTTTGAGTTATATTTAGGTACTGTATGAACATCATTGACAGGACGTCGTAAACGTGGCATCTGAACCTCACTATCAGATGCATAGTCATAATATCCATATGTCGGTTGTTGGGGAGATTGATCATATTTTCTAGAGGATCTTGGAGATCCAACACTCATGGTAGGGAGGCCCACTGGGATATCTAATGTTTGATATTGCTTATTCATGGACGTTTTTATCAGGTCTGTGTCAGAATCACTAAATACTAAATCTCCATTCATACCCCTTGATGATATTAGTTGTTCAGCAGGGGATTTTGGAGCATGGATTTGTTCGTCTTTATGGTCCTTAGATTGCTCCTGTTGGGGAGAATCAACTTTAGATGCTTCACTAATGCCAGTTCCAGTGGAATTCCCACTATCGTTAGAGTCATCATGTATCAGTGCTTCCTCAGTTCCTAGTCTATAGCCCTGGAAACTTTTTGGAAGGCCTGATTTAATGAAGTCCTTGGGTAAATACTGCACTCCTTGAGGTGGGGGGTATACTCTGGGGTCCCGCCCCAAATTATAATCCTCCATGATTTTATCAGTGTTTTCTAAAGGTACATTTTTCCCTTTTAACACTACAACCGGTTTCTCTGGCTCTATTGGGCCGAGACTTGTCAATGACTTGGAACTTATACCACGTTGAGTTCGAATTGAAAGCACCAACTTCTTAGGGATTGACATCAATATAACAACATCGTCTAAACTCATGCGGCTTACATCGACTTTATTAACAGATAATATCTCATCTCCTATTCGTAATAATCCATTGTCTTCAACAATACTTCCCTGTGCGATACGGGATATAAACACCCCTGTTGATCTATCATTTCCATTGCCCTCTCTGATGTAAAATCCAAGTGTCTGACCAGGCCTCTTTACAATTTCAACTGTCTGTATAACACTATCATCATCCTGTACTTCCATATTCTTTATACCCATATCCAGTGCTGGAGATTTTTTTCTCTTGGATCCAGTACTACTGGGAGGGGTATCCAGGTATTTTACATTTTTACCTGGACTTTTTCCCGGGGAACTGGAATCTGATTTGCTCCTGGTTTCTGTTTTTTTTAAATGTGCCTTTTCTTCAGCCTTCGTCCGCTTTTCTTTCCCACTGAACGGCTTCTTCGAGCTAGCAGACATTTGCACACTGTCGTCCTGAAGCAAAACAGTCAAGAATCAATAATATTTAATCATGTATAATTGTAGAAAACATCAATTATTCACAGGACCTTTCGTGCTCGTGTTTGTTGTCATATTCTCCATTTGTGAAGGTCAAAGGTCAAACTTTCTCACCTCCTTTACTAAAGAGCGATCAATGTTTACCTATAGAGCTTGATGAGTGTTCTTGAGATTCATTCAATCTATAGTTTATTTATAGGTGTGTATAATTATGAAAAACATAACATTTGCATAAATTAAGTGGGAAAATATTTTAGAAATGCTGAACAATCATTGACTGCATGCAATTTAATGCTTTTATTTGATTATCATAGATTATATCAAAATCCTCATAGCTTTAGCAGGAAGTGAATACAGACATGAATGAAGTGGTTTGTAGGTAATTCATTTGACAAACAACTAGACATGCATACAAATAGATCAATAAAAAAGAAGAATTTGCAAGATAGCAGAGAAATTAGATGTATTACACAAGAGTCTATAACATTGTCTCTTTTCATGTTAATTAATAACGAGACAAGATTGAATTTAAATAATCTCATTATAGGTATAAGCTCTTGCGCTGAATATAAAGGCCGTCTACATAATGACTGTGATATCATTTTCAACGAGTAGCATACTCCTAAACACTACGACACGACACATCATGATCACAAGAGTTTTCCTACAAAGTAAGGGATCCAATTACAGCTCATTGATTGGTCTATCTCCGGCAAAAACAAGTATCACATTGTTGAATAATTGAGGAGGCGGAGAACTTTGAATGTTATTTCAATATAAATCTTCATCATAGACTCTGCTTAATAAGGCTTCTGTTCATTTGATAATTTCAAAATCAATACATCTGAAAGAAAAATTGCTCAGAATATTATTCTAACATGAAGATCTTAAAGATCATATAGTATATTGCAATTAGCTGAATTGGTAAGATATTATAAAAATATTTACCAACGTGTGCATTTCTTGACTTTGATAATAATCTTGTTTTTACTAAACACAATCAGCACATCCTTGATTAAACTAACATAACTGACACATGACAAAAGCCAAGGAATGATAAGGAAGTAGTTAGAGGTCAAAAGGTCTTATAGCTTTGTTATGCTACAAAAAAAACAAAAGAAAGAGGACTGTAATCTGACTGTAATTTTGAGGTGTCCAAAATTTGGTTATATGCAATAAAATTTGAACCAAGGTGTTCAAACTGCGGGCCAAGGTGTTCAGATTTGGATCAAGGTGTCCACAATTTGAAGAAAGGTGTTCAACATTTGTAAGTCACTCATGTTAGGTGTTCCCAAGTTGACAGGCCTGTTACAATAAACTTAAAGATATTTCCATGGTAACATGTTAGTCTGTGATTTTACCACTTCTATCTCATTTGTCACTTTGCAACATGCAAAGGCAAAAAGCTGCATGGAAACCATTTTGAATAAATCAATTATGTCTGTTTCCCTCTGACTCTCGATTTTCTGCTGTACCTATCTCTCTACAAATACAGTATGTCTTATACTAATTAATATCTCAACTTCCCATTTCCTGATACAATAGTATACATGCTTGGTTACTTAGCGATAGCTTTAAGAGGCTCCAATGTGCCCAATGTCAAGTCATTTTAACTTGACAGCTAATAACATATCAAGTATCTTGAAATGGGTGAGGCAAATTAATGTCAAAGAGGATAGAATTGGAAGAAATGACTTAATTATTTAGTTTTTTTGTGAAAAACTGTCAAACTGAAGCAATTTTGACAAGATGATGGTTTACACCTGCCTTCTGTAGAATAAATATCAAAATGACAGAAAGCCCCCAAAATACTAAAATCTTTAATAAGGTATGAAAAAGGTTTAACCAGGGAGATTTTGGGATAACCTGGTGAGTTACCATTATACAGACAATTAATTTATTAGGGCCTTATAAGGAAACTACCTGTTAAGTAACCATCATACAGACAATTAATTTATTATGGCCTTATAAGGAAACTACCTGGTAACTAACCGTTGTACAGACAATTAATTTATTAGGGCCTTATGGAAACTACCTGGTAAGTTTTTTTTTTAGTTTTTTTTATTTCCTATTTTGTTACATTCATACATTGTTTATATTGATTACAAATCATGTAGGGCCTTATAAGGAAACTACCTGTTAAGTAACCATCATACAGACAATTAATTTATTATGGCCTTATAAGGAAACTTCCTGGTAAGTAACCGTTGTACAGACAATTAATTTATTAGGGCCTTATAAGTAAACTACCTGTTAAGTAACCATCGCACAGACAATTAATTTATTATGGCCTTATAAGGAAACTACCTGGTAAGTTACCATTATACAGACAATTAATTTATTAGGGCCTTATAAGGAAACTACCTGTTAAGTAACCATCATACAGACAATTAATTTATTATGGCCTTATAAGGAAACTACCTGGTAAGTAACCGTTGTACAGACAATTAATTTATTAGGGCCTTATGGAAACTACCTGGTTCGTTTTTTTTTTAGTTTTTATTATTTCCTATTTTGTTACATTCATACATTGTTTATATTGATTACAAATAATGTAGGGCCTTATAAGGAAACTACCTGTTAAGTAACCATCATACAGACAATTAATTTATTATGGCCTTATAAGGAAACTTCCTGGTAAGTAACCGTTGTACAGACAATTAATTTATTAGGGCCTTATAAGTAAACTACCTGTTAAGTAACCATCGCACAGACAAATAATTTATTATGGCCTTATAAGGAAACTACCTGGTAAGTAACCATTGTACAGACAATTAATTTATTAGGGCCTTATAAGGAAACTACCTGTTAAGTAACCATCGCACAGACAATTAATTTATTAGGGCCTTATAAGGAAACTACTTGTTAAGTAACAGTCATACAGACAATTAATTTATTAGGGCCTTATAAGGAAACTACTTGTTAAGTAACAGTCATACAGACAATTAATTTATTAGGGCCTTATAAGGAAACTACTTGTTAAGTAACAGTCATACAGACAATTAATTTATTAGGGCCTTATAAGGAAACTACTTGTTAAGTAACAGTCATACAGACAATTAATTATTAGGGCCTTATAAGGAAACTACTTGTTAAGTAACAGTCATACAGACAATTAATTTATTATGGCCTTATAAGGAAACTTCCTGGTAAGTAACCGTTGTACAGACAATTAATTTATTAGGGCCTTATAAGTAAACTACCTGTTAAGTAACCATCATACAGACAATTAATTTATTATGGCCTTATAAGGAAACTTCCTGGTAAGTAACCGTTGTACAGACAATTAATTTATTAGGGCCTTATAAGTAAACTACCTGTTAAGTAACCATCGCACAGACAATTAATTTATTATGGCCTTATAAGGAAACTACCTGGTAAGTAACCATTGTACAGACAATTAATTTATTAGGGCCTAAGGAAACTTGTTATTTTTGTTTGGGAGTGTCTTTGGAAGTAGATCGAAGAATGAGAAAGATGAATATTTGGACAAAGTGGTACATGTAAAAGAAATAAATCCTATAAAATTCTAAACACTTCCATTTATTTGATGCATACACTATTCTCAGCATTTTATCTGTTATACATGTACTAAATACATAGTACTAAATGTCATCATACTTTATCATACTTCATCAAAAACTAGCAATTATGAAACATGCCCAACACAACATTTATTATGTTGGCTGATGTAAACTTGACTAACATACATGTATGACTTGAAAGATCGATTGCAGACTAATCAATTCTTCAAGCTCATTATACAACTTTTGCATCAGTTAATTAATTGATTGTCTAAGCTATTCAACAGTTCAGCTTTCCCCGATCTTCTCCTACCGGACAAACATATATTTATATCTCTATAAACTTAAAAGACCATATAAGTACATGTAACACAAAAATGCAACTCTAAGTAATGTCACTGGCGGATCTGGGGGGGAGGGCAAGGGGCCAAAAGATTTTGGGCCAAAAAAGACCATGAGGCCCCAAAAAGTGGGCCTTTTTGGTCATTACTGGGCCTTTGGTTTTAGGGGCCCGACGTTTTTTCTCAGAGAAGAAACTTGCCCCCCCCCTTCTTGTTTCCCAGATCCGCCCCTGAATATAATCTTTCTCAGTATATCCTATCATGGGCTTTCAATAGATCATGGGCTTTCAACATCTCTTGAAAGCATGGGCTTTCAACATCTCTTGAAAGCCCATGATCCTATCTTCCAATTTTGGAATACTTTTTTAAATGATGATAAACTGACTTACTGATTTGGACAGATCTCTGAACTTGTATTTTTGAGTGATTTGGCATGAAAGGGTGCATCCATAGAAAATGTTATTTCTCTTAATTTCATCATGTCATGTTTTCTGGATCACCATGTATGCAAGAATGCAAGACGATAAGGAAAGTATTTCAAACTCTCTCAGGGGGTTAAAATCGGTCTTCCATGCTTATTTCAAGCATTCATAGGTTCAAATGCTCTACCCTTTGCATTGTTTCGCTTCACTTCTTAAAAGAGAGCTTCGACAGTTTGTAACTAGATTTCACCCAGGGTACTACTGTAATAATGCCATTATTTTTTAAATATTAATTTTTTACATGAGACCAAAAACATTACTTTTGAGAATGCCATTATTCTTATATCAGTCTTTTCAAGCAAGAAGCTAAAAAATAATTTAAAATGCCAATTACCATATTTTTGTCCCCGTATCTTGACATTGATGTAGCAATGCCCTAGAAATCAAATCAAACACCGCACTCTAAATGGAAACACTTGTAATCATATTCTTACTTCAAGCATGTTTACACAACGTCCCATTATTGATAAATAACTAAATAATGGCCAGAGGATACATAACATCAGATATGTAATACAAAATATAGATTTTCAATTTGCATATAATATGTCTCATTTCGATTTCATGTGGATTAATCAATGTATCTTCATGAGTTCCAGGCATGCAATAATGACTTTGAGAATGCAATT